GATAAGTCAGGGCCAAGCCAGCTCCGATCAACAAGAACCCTGTTACCATGGTTCCAAATAGGTAGATATCTTCAGCATTCAGGCTCGCCCAAGCCCAAACCTCTCGGTGAGAAAGGGGTGTCAATTGCATTTAGGGACCAGTTGATCAAATCCATAATTCCTCTTTTAGGTTTTAGAGAACAGACTGTGAGAGAGTGTTCCAGGGAAAAGTAATACAAAAAACACGAGACTAGACAAGGTCATAAGAGGCTAAGCAGGGAAGCTAAGGGAGAGGAGGAGAGGAGAAAAGTGTGACCGCCTTCGTCAAGAACAAGAGCAGCATGAGGGTGGGAATGGATGTCTGTATCTGTGTGTGCCTGTATGTCTGTATCTTTATGTCAGACGCCACCTCTCTAGGGACATTTCAGGTCCTCCAAAGTATGAAGGCCTATCTCCCCCCACCACTTCCCCTGCCAGTGGCAGACGCTCTCAGACATCGGTGCACTGGTGGTTCTTTGGTGTCCGGGGTTGGGCGTCCAGGTACACACCGGCTCACTCTTTGGTGGCTGCTTGTCGGGACCTGGAGCCTGCGGCTCACTCAGGCCACTTCGGGGGTGGGGTGCCCTCGGCCTCTCGGCCTGGGGCTCAGTCACTCTGGCACAGCTGGCTGCTGGCGGACCTCACGGGCACGTCACTGCAACGAGGCTTCTGCGCCGCGGCTGCTGAGTCACCCCTCATCTGGGGCTCTCCTCAGCTCTTTCTGGAATAGTGGCCCGGCTGCACCTGTGTTGGTCTTCCTTGGTCTCTTGTGTTCTGAGGGCCTCTGGATGTCTGGTTTTGATCTCCTCCATACCTACCCACACCTGAAACAAATGATTAGCTCATTACCAGGCCTCTGGAGAACTTCAAGACATGTTGAGAAGGTACTGTAATTTAGCCATTTAAATCAGCTGTGATGGATCAAGGATGCATCTAAAACCTGCAGGACACCGGCCCTCGAGGCCTGGAGTTCGACACCTGTGCTCTAGCAGATCATTACATGAAGGAACCTTTTAAAACAAGCACGTTCATGCTCACAGGTGTACACACGGGTGCTCACACACACAAACTACACCCTTTTTGGCTCCTACCTCAAAGCACACTGTGCGCTGTCGATCTTACGTGCTGCACAATAATGTTTAATATTTAGTATTTACTGTTATATTCCCATAGATCATCGTGATGTTGTTTATTATATTGCTCTCTTTTTCTTCTGCTTGTTTTCTTTTTTTTCTTTCTCAACAGGTGATCCAGGTGATTGATATATGTATTTTTTGTCTGCTTATTTAGTTGGTTTTTGTTTTTTTGCCCTTTATCCCCGTCCCTCTTCTCCACTGTTTTTCTTTCCCTCTTTCTTTCTCCCCTTTCTTTTCCCCAGTCTTTTCCCAAAATAAACAATAAAAGGTGAATCAAATGGACCATTACAGCAAGGCTGGGATGGTCCATTTGGTAAAGTAAATCTGTTGGGTATCTTTCTTCGCCTTTAGACAATAATTCTGATGGCAAAAGAGCCAAACGGGACAGGCAAAAAAAAAAAAAAACAACAAAAAAAGAGAGTGTAGCTGTGTAAACTTCAAATGTCTGCTTGATATATCAAGACATCACATATTTGCAAAAGTGCTCTGATGTTTTCGGCGACGTCTGTTACCCACCAGCTCGATAGCTGGCTAGCTACGGTAATATAAAACAGATAAACATAAAACAGCACAATCAAACATACAGCACAAATCTAGTTAAAAGCTAGTCTAAACAAATAAGACTTATTTAAAAAGACTCATTTAAAAGAATAAATAGAATCCAGGCAATTCAAAGATGGAAGGAAAGAATTCCACAACTTGGGGGCCAACGCTCTAAAAGAGCTATTACCTCTGGTTTTAAAACGCGTTTGGGGGGTTACCTACAGCCTTTGATTAGACGACCCCAGGCTGCAAGAGGGAATATGAGGTTCTAAAAGATCAGAAATATAAAGACAATCTTTATATACATTCAATGGGGCATGATCTGAAAATAATCGGTGACTAGGCGAATATCAGAATAATCGCCTGTGGCAGCCCTATCTGACTTTGTGCTGCTATCTGGTTTCGCTTCCATTTCTCTGAAATTGTCTCTCTGTTATTTCCCTGAAGCAGAGTTTTTTTTTTCCATGCCTAACACGCATACTATCTACATCATTCAGGTGAGCGATACTCCACCCATCTTTCTCTTGCTCTTCATGTTTACCAGCAAGGCCACACCTTAAAGCCAGCCCCCCTTAAAAGATCAGGTGGGACAGAATCAGTGAGCGTCGAGTCAAGAGCAGCTGATACATCACATTCACTCAGCACTCATGTAATGATGCTCCCTGCACTCAGGGTAAGGTGCTTTATACTTGTCTATATTTGCACAAATTAATTAATCAAGGAAAAAGGTGTGATTTAGACGAACTGTTGAGTTCTGTTTTAAGTTCAGACTAATACAGGAAAGGAAGAGGACAAAAGATAACTGGAAGGGGGCTGGCAATAAAAAAAGGGCACGGATGTCACTCAGTCTGTTCCTGTTGTATCATGTGCAAAGGGAAGAGCTCAGCCCTGATGCGTGCAAAAGAATAAGATTTGTAAAGAGAGATAACTGGAAGCAGTGCAAAAAAAACTACACTAGGATTACTTGTGCTTTATTCCTCCAAATGATTCATGCTATCTTGAAAAATGGAAGAAAGTCATGCTGAAAGTGGGTTTTTTAAAGGCAAGATTTGTGAATTTCAGGAAAACTAAGAAAGAGCTATGGTGGAATGAAAAGGGGAAAAGAAAAGACAAAAGCCACACAATGTAACCTCCACCTCACCTTGTTAGCTAGGAGCTTTGACTCATACAGACAATGTATTATTGATGTACTGAAACGTAATATAAGTATGTTTATTTATATAGCTCCTTTATCAGAGACATAAAAGGGCTGTATGACAATTAAAACACAATTAATATCAGTAGAACACCACGTTATAATAAAATCAATTGAAAAAGAGAAATTAAAAAAGAATATTAACAGAAAAATGGATTAAATAAATGTTTTACCTGCTTTCTGAAGGATTCCACAGAGTGAGCGCAGCAGAGTTCGAGTGGTAAGGTGGCAACCTGCTCAACCAGTAGAGCAAGTTGTATTCAAACTTCTGTGGCAGTGCCAGAATAGAGTCTGAATTATATTGGTTCATGCGTCAAACTGCAGCCATAGTGTAATCTTTGTTATGTTTATGGATGTTAATTTATCCTAGTCTCTTTAAGACATTTAGTTACGACAGGGGCAAATTGAGAAAGCTGTCTGCATTGTCACGATGAAGTGACAACGCTGTGTGTTTATGAATCCTTTAAGCATCAGTAGCTCTTCTTTTCAGATGATGCCAGAAGATTTCCTTTAAGAATCATCCTGATGGCGGCCGAACATCTGCGTCTCGAGGCCCCGGCTGAGGCACACTGTGAGATTAATGTTGCTGGTTGTATTGTCCATTAGAAGGAGAGGTAAAAGGTAGGCAACTTCGGCAGTAATTGAATGTGTCTTGCCTTCAGTAGCCCATGTTGTGATTCTGAAGGCATTCATTGAGTCAAGTCTTTTTATGCTGTGTAATTTAATAGTCAGGAATGCTGGATAAAAGAGAAAATAGCAACTGATTTGACAGCTCAATATCTCTATAGCGATGCTGAGACGTTGAGAGAAAGTGTTTCTGAATTCAAATAGTCGGGATTAGATGTGACAGAACTGAAATGGAAAAGTGGACAGTGAAGCTATAATCCAACATGTTTCCTGTCAGGCTCTGTGCATTTACCAGAATGAGATGCAAATGTGAAAGAGAAGCTTTTGTTTCTTGTTTTTGAAACCTGTTTGTAGCACAGCAGAACTTCTTTATGTCTTGTATTAAAATGTTTCAAAACTTTCAAAAATCCTAAACTGTGTATGTTTCCCAGAACACATACAATTTTAAAGTTTGGACAGTTAAATGCACATGTTAATATTTAAACCAAAATTATGGGATAACAAAGATGTCCTTTCAAACAGCTCACTCATAATATTGCAGGTGTGGGTTTGGTTCTTTCCGCAAAGAGGAGCTTTGATGGTGACTCACTCACTGATGGCAGGTGGATTATAAACCAAAAGCAAAAGAATAACAAGGAATAACAAAATCGTGTTTGTGGTCACAACAGCTTGATTCCTCAAACTTCATTTTTTGGCTTATCAGTTGTTCAGAACAGTTTTCTTGTTTGTGATTGTATGCGTTACTTTTGGGAAACAATACCAGAGAAAAATTGCAGTGGCTTCATAGTTACTGTTGTTGAATTACTCAGACAAACACATTCATACACAGAGGCGCACCCACTGAAAGCATCGCAAAATTGACCTGAGGATTTAAATCAGCTTGAACTCAGAGACTACTAACCTTAATATGTCTATTGTATCAGCCCTAAAAACCTTTGAAATACATATCCAACTGGATACTTACTCTGGATGGCATTGCCTTGATTTCCAGTAACACTGTGAGAAATCTTGGAGACGTTTTTGATAAGATCTTCAGTGCGCATGTTAATTAATTATGTAGGACTGGTTTCTTGCTTTTGAGCAATATCTCTAAATTTAGAAACATCCAATGTCTCAGAGTGAAACTGAAAGTTCATGCATTTATTACTTCTAGGCTGGACTACTGTAATTCATTATTATGTTTATGATGTTTGAAAAACTCCATGAAAAGTCTTCAGTTGATTCAAAATGCAACAAGAATACTGACAGGGACTGAAAAGACTAGCATATTTCTCCCATATTGGCTTCTGTTCATTTGCTCAGACTGAAGGGTTACTTGTGGTTCCCAGAGTATTTGAAAGTAGAATGGGAATTAGAGCCTTTAGCTTTCAGGCCCCTCTTCTATGGAACCGGGACCAAAACTCAGGAGACAGACACTGCTGGAGGAATTCCCATGATGCACTGACTGTTTTTTTCTTCACTCACCTTTTTCACTCTCCATATGTTTATACACCTCTTTACATTTAATCATTAGGTATTATTAATCTCTGGCTTCCACAGCTGGTGTTTATCATGTCTTCCTCCTATCACGCCCAACCAGTCATGACAGATGGCTGCCCTTTCTAAGCCTGGTTCTGCTGGAGGTTTCTGCCTGTCAAAAGCAAGTTTTTCCTTCCCACTATCGCCAAACCAGTCTCTCAAACAGGTCATACGATTGTTGGGGGTTTTCTCTGTCTTATTGTAGAGAATTGACCTTGCTGTTCAATTATTGTTGTGATTTGGCAGTAAATAAATAAAACAGAATGTAATTGAATATCATAGAATGATATATTCTGGCTATTTGGAGCTTGCAAAAATTTGAGTATTTGAAGTAGCCTTTAAATGACTCCTAGCAAGTGTGTGTGTTTGTGTGTGTGTTACAAATCCCTGACTGACACTGTTTCAATGTTTTAACCACAAAGATTCTTCTAATATATTTTCTTGTTTGACTGGTCAGGTTTGGATCAAGAACTTCATTCCACCTGATCTCTTGAGGAGATCAATCATACCCCTCAGATTTCACTTCCCCTTCTAGGACATCTGTCATGAACTGGAACTGGCTGCAGGCCCTTATCAGTGGGGTCAGCAATTACTCCACAGTGTTCGGTCGGGTCTGGCTCTCAGTGGTCTTCATCTTCCGGGTGATGGTGTTTGTGGTGGCGGCTCAGCGGGTGTGGGCTGATGAAAGGAAAGACTTTGAATGCAACACTAGACAGCCAGGCTGCACCAACGTGTGCTATGACCACTTCTTCCCCATCTCCCACATCAGTCTGTGGGCCCTGCAGCTCATTTTCGTCACATGCCCGTCACTGATGGTTGTTGCCCATGTCAAATATCGACAGATGAAGGACTTAAAGTACACCACCACCCATGAGGGTAAACACATGTATGCCCGCCCTGGGAAGAAACGTGGAGGGCTGTGGTGGACATACCTGGTAAGAATGAAGGGTGCTAATGTTTAATTCCAGTTATGTTGTGTATGCCACACATAGAAGGAGATTAGCAATTATACTGTATGAGCAACAAGCTTCACCACACCTCCAAACTGATGTGAAGTTGTATGTGTGATGACTTTGCAAGAGTGGTGGTATTTTGGTATCTATCCAATATCAAGTATTGCAGATGCAGATACCAAGATACTAATATTACCTACCTAAACTAGACTATAGAAAAATAGATGTAACAGTCAGCACAAAAATGCTTCCAAACATTTCTACATATATACATATACTGAAATTAGACGACAGAAAAAAAGTACAGATCATATCATCCTAGTATCAATCTGATACTGAGACTAGCCTTAATTATCGATATTTGGAGAGAGCCCATCTCTATTTGCAGTCATTCGATTCTTTCTTCCTTTAAACAGCCATATAATACCAAATGTTCAGTTTGTTTTAACTGATTTTGGTTATTTTGGTATTTGGTAATATCACAAATCTTCCTTTTCTAGATAATCAGGATGAAGAGTCCTCACTTAGGTTACAAATTTTACATAGGGTCACTTATCTTTTTTTTGTTTTTGTAACTGGCTAAACATCATAATAAGAGCTTGAACAAGTGGCTGAGATAAGTTACAGTAATTACTGAACCTTTAAAATTTATCCTGCCAAACACAGCCATTATCAACTGAGAAATCACTTGGACTTTACTTTACTTTAACACTCATTTGTTTTCTCATAGGTTAGCCTGATTTTAAAGGCAAGTTTTGACGGTGCTTTCCTCTACATCCTGTATTACATCCACGAAGGGTTCAACTTACCCCGTTTGTTAAAGTGTTCAATGGATCCTTGCCCGAACATAGTGGACTGTTACGTATCCCGCCCCACAGAGAAGAAAATCTTCACTCTCTTCATGGTGGTGTCCTCTGCTGTCTGCATCTTGATGTGTATCTTTGAGATGTTTTACTTCATCTGCAAGAAAGTCAAGAAACGAATCATTGACAAAATAGATGAAGAGACTCGTGAGTTGAAGTCATCGTCAACACCTCATTCAAGGCACAAGTCTAGATCATCTTTGAGAGTGGATCCAACAGTGTCTAACCAGAACCTGAATAACATCAAGACTGAGGAGACACCAACCACGAAATAAGAACCATGTTGCTCGGGCTACTCTGAAAAGCTAATTGAATACCTCCAGGTGCCACTGGAAGCAAATGAATCCCTCCTACTGCTTGCAAAACTGTTGCTCATGGAAAACAAAAGAAGTACGCCGTGATTTGTAAATATTACCATGTTAAACAAAATTCAGCATGCATCGACAGCAAAATTGTGGGTCAAAGAGGAAGCTATTTTTTGTGCATGTATTCTGTGTCTGTATGAGTGTGTCTCTGTATTCATGCTTTTATGTAGCCTGTCCATCATTAGCCAATAGTAAATTGTGACTGGCCAAGCACAGCACGTTCTTGAACACAGTAAGTGGAGATGAAGAGATTTGAAGGAAATCTCTTTTATTCTTGCACAAGAACCATTGTCAACCATAATGAAGTAAGACTACAGCTATTATAGTTTGTTTTAAATGATGAGGGGGTGGGGTTGTTGCAATATATAACGTTTTTTCACTGTTAAATGTTTGTGTATGTGTCTGTTTTCATGCATTTCACAATTATCAAGCGGTTACCAGGTCAGTTGGGAAGACTACATGCTGTAAGTGAACCTTATATTGACTTTAGGATTACACGCTGAGTCACTCACAAATTACTTCACAATCGGCTTCACACAAAGCTTTACACATGACCCCGCCTTACTTGTTCTGGCGTCATCCGAGTTTCCACACTACCGTCCAATCAGAAGCAGAGGACACGGGTGCGGTTTTGATAGATAGGACAATGCACCAATGGTAAGCGGAAACTGGACGTCGCCGTATCTGCCCTTACGGATGCTTCGTTGTAGGAAGTAAAGGCTGTCAAATATGAGTTTCCACTACGGACAGGTATTGAATTCCCGTATTTTATATTTTGTTTTTGTCTTCATAATAACATACTAATGTTGTTTATTGAGTTTCTCTTTTATTGACCAATGTGACGTAACTAACAGCACCGCAAGTAGTTTCGGTTATTCATTTGTCTGCTGTGGTTAGCTAAGTGTTACACGGTAAACTGTTGCTATTCTTTAGCAACATTTCGGTAGGAAATAGCGGGTTACTCAGTGTTTATCTTTTAAATTTGGTCTTGTGGTTCAGCAAAACGTAACTACTCTAGTTTTCCTCGTTTGATATGATAACAGTCATGGTGGGTTTCATCTGAAAGTAGAGGTAACTCATCGTTCTTGCTCAAAAACATAATTATGGTGTAAGTAAGTTTTAACCTTAATTACCTACCATATAAAAGAAGTTGAGCCGTTTTATGTCAGCAAACGAATCATTGATCAGCACAGTGGGATCCAATCTAGTTTATTTTGCTTGAATTATGGCATCGTTAAGCTTCTGTACGTCTAGTTTTTAGTTAATTCGTGAATCTTTTTTTCTTGTATTAATTGATTACATCATCGAAAGGCTAGAATAAGACTTTGTTTCACATGTTTAATGATCTTTGCCTGAAAAGTATTTAAAACCACTAATACACTACCAAAATACAGCTGTATTTTTTGTTGTTTTGTTTTAACCTATCACAAAAAATTACCCACCTCTGTGTCCTATAGGTAACTTCACATGAGCAGTCTCATAATTATAAACCGATTACATGTTTTGCTGGCAAAATCTTAATTTACAAGCTGATTGTAGCTTTCAAATAAGTATGCAACATTTAACTTAATTAAACAAATAAAATATTTTCCTCATATTGTGCAGCTCTCATTGGTGCCAAATAAACTGCTGTCTGTGGCATGGCCATGGGAACTCTAGGGTTGTAGGCTCTATGAGTTCTGAGTCCAGATCAAACCTTTATACTAAACCCACTTAAACATTGCTACAGACAACACAATCCTGCTTATGCCTTAACCTCCTAGGACCTGCCGTCCACATACGTGGACATCACATTTTGGGTTATTTAGACTAAAATACTCAATTTTGCTCTACATGGGCTTGATATCCACTTACGAGGGCATTATACTGCTACTGTTCTATCAAAATCCTCATATGTGGCTCTTATTTTTCTTAAAAACAAAAATAAGGTTGAAAAAAAAATCTGGTAATTCTTTGTTTTTACATTCATTGGGCCCCAATATGCCCAAATATCAAAGAGAAATTAAAAATGCATGTCGTGGAAGAGTTCGGGTCTTAGGAGGTTAAAGTATTACCAGTTAGTTGCATTCACCCCTAGAGGTGCAATGTACACTGCAAAAACTGCTGAATGAGAGGTACAAGAAAGAGTCCCCCAAATCAGTCTAGTTGATCATCCACTGGATGCTCCCAGGAACGATCACAATCTGTGGAGGCCGCAGCGGACAATCTACAGGACTCCAAGAATCCACTAGAGATCCTGTTTCCATGCCTCACTATGTCAGAGCTGTTTTGCAGGCACAGAGGGGGGCTATACAATATTGAGCAGCTGATTTTAGTATTGTGGCTAATGATTACATATTTTCCCCTGAAATGTTAAACAAGTGGAGTACAAAGTAGCAGGATCCAAGGCAACAGAAAATACATGACCTTAAAACTAAACTTAAGTACAGAATTTGAGAAGATAGTCGAATAGCCATACCTGAAGTATCTTGTGTCTCTGTTGTCCTCAGACTCTTTTACTGCAGAAGCAGTAAGCCTGTTTATTATAGGGTTTAGTGACCCTTGCTTTTTTGTCCCTCTGCAGGGCTATCCAGTTGGAGTCAACCCGCCACAGGGTGCGCCATACAGTGCAGGCAGAGGTTCCTATGGGCCTCCACCATCAGCTCCTTACGGAGGTCCTGGAGGTCAACCAGGAGGCCCCTATGGTGGTTATGGAGTTCCAGGTCATGGAGGGCAATATGGGCCAGGGCCAGGTGGTGCCCCTGGTGGGCCTTATGGGGGTTATGGTGGACAACCATATGGGGGACCTAATGCAAACTATGGTCCTGCAGGTAATTATGAGACGAGAGCATATCTTTGTAAGCATCTGTGGTAGCTCTGCCTGTAGGATTTAAGCAGGCATACACTGAACACAAGGAGACTGCAGATAGACTCTGATTCTGCTTCCACATTGCTTCCCCCCTCACTCTCCGCTGGGATGATGGATAGAAAATGACTTGCGTTCCCAGACAGTCTTGTAGAGACAGGGTTCAGTTTGTGCCCCTCAGCAGGATTACACGGCTGGAGTGATGACTCCGGTAATACTGAGTGAGGGCTAAACAGAGTAAGAGACAGATGGGCAAAGAGTGTGTTTGTGTGTGTGCGTGTGTGTGATTACACTGTTTCCAGTAGTGGCTAAGCCTAAGTCAGAACCTGATAGCCTATGTTACGATCAGTCCCCACAGGGACAAAATCCATCAAGGGTCTGCCCTCAAGTGTCACCTGTCCCTCTCTCCCCATTCATTTTTCTGACAATCAGTCCCCCCTCTACTGCTTCCTTCAACTCACACCATATTTTTCTAACACCTCCTTTTTCCAGATAATGGCCTCTTCTCGAGACGGCTTTTTGTCAACCTTTGACCCTATCTGCACCTTCATTTTCACAGCCGCTATTTATGAAACCTGAACCTGTATAACTAAGGTTGGACATGTAGCCTTTAGAAGAATACAAACTGCCTTACTAACTGCAGGAAGGTTATTTGGATCCCTTCTTTGTTTTTTCCATATTGTAAAACAAATATGTATTTGAACGGGCCCCGTCTAACTGTCAGATGAAATGCAATTCCTGTTCTGTTGCTCACATTTGCATGCAGCTTGTGGAAGCAGAACATCAGGCAAAATGGCAATGAGACTTACATGAGCTGTGTACGAGACTGTGTTGCAGTATCATACGTATGCTGCATTCACAGATGTACAACAGCTGAAATACCAGGGTACATACTCGGTATCAGTTTAATTGACTCATTATAGTTGACTCTGGTTATGAATGCTAGATATATGTTGCATAGCTAATTTATACCTACTCATCTATCGGCCCCTATTATTGGTAATGACTACATTTATATAAAATATTTTTAAATTTTTATTTATTTTAAAATAAATATAAATTCTCAACACAAAGCCTGTTTAAACTGAAATGTTTTTGTTTGCTGCTTTTTAAAAGAATGAACAAGGTCAACTAAAATCAGTTGTGGTAGTAAACTGCTCCACAGCCGTAGTGGCACAGACTGAAAGGTTCTGTCCTTCCTATTCTGTTCCTGTTCCTTCCTATTAATCAGCCATGTAAATCACCCTCACCTAGCTGAACATGGACGCTTTAAAAAAGCTAAAGCTATCCAAACCTTAGAGCCAACCACAAGCTAGCAGCCTCGGTATGAGCAAAAGATCGAATCAGTTATGAAGAAAATTATGGAGATGAGTGAAAAAGAGAAAAGGATTGATGTCCTGTTATCTAGTTAATTTATAAACATACTGGAAAATGATCCAAGTAACTGAACTTTATTTTGTTAAATAAATCTGTAGCACCAGTTTTTTTTGTTGTTGTTACTGTTTTTTTTTTTTTTGGGGGGGGGGTTTAGTAAAGAAAATGTATTAGGTAAAGGTGGGTGTACAGTACCTCATTTTTAGTTAATTATTTGCACCTCTTTCCAGTACCAGAGCACTTCATTTTCAACTGTTTAAGTCAGAGAAGATCTTGTAACTTACTGCAGTGTAGTTATTTATTTTATTATGAAAATAATATTTTGCAAAGGTTGAAAGAAAAAGTTGTTTTATTGATTGCATATGCTTCTGTGAAAAAAAAAATCCAAATCAAATTGCCAAATATTGGTATTGGCAGGTTACACTTTAAAACAACAACAACTGGAATCAGCCAAGAAAATTCAATTTGGTGAATCTCTTGTTCTTTGGTGAAAATACATGAATTACAGTTTCATACAATTTAACAGCTGACAGCTCAATACATTAGTTTTTCTACTTCAGAAAGTACGTCCACTACCTGAGTGTTAATAAGGACACTACTGTTAGTTAATATTAACCAGATAACCGTTCAGGTTTCAGTACAGACTTGATCCCAAAAACCAGGTGACCAGCAAACCTAATTTCTGTTTGGCCGGGTGGACTCCAGTGGGCTCCCCTTCTAAGCTACCAAAAGCTTTTGTTGCTCGCTGTTGATACTGGCAGTGGAAGATGGATATTTATTTAAGGCACTCAGGAGTGAGCATGTGTGTCACATAGTTGAAGATGTGTACAGAGAATTTACTGAATAGTTCACATAGAAATCAGTCCACAGACTATTAGAGCAAACAGAGAGTCACAAAAGGCCTCATATTTTAAAAATGTCACACTACTATCCATTCAGACATTAGCGATAAAAAGCTAGAGAAACAAATGTTGCACACTACATGT